TCTCTCTCTCTCTCTCTCTCTCTCTCTCTCTCTCTCTCTCTCTCTCTTCCTTCACTGATTGGAAAGATTTTCCTCGCACACATACACACACGCGCACACATCTGCAGTTCCCTCCCTCTTATTCTCCTCTCTTGAGGGGGGAATTTGAAACCGTCCAGCTAGATTTTTAAACAACTGGCTTAGACAATCACACCCTCTTCTGACACACTGCGCAAACAATACGTCTGTTTGTTCACTTAGGTGTTAAACGTACTCATCGCAAACTCTAAAACCAAACATAATGAAGGTTATCGAAGGAGTTTGCTCCAGTAGTTTTCCAGATGTGTGGTTGTGAAATGCAGGTACGCAGTCAGTGTAAACAAAGCACTCGGCTGAACCCACTAAAAACCACACGAGTTACGTGGTTGACCTACATTAGACCGGTTGTTGCGAATGTGAGTAAATAATCAGACGTGTAGAATTGCGAAGGTGGACATGTAAGTGTGAATCAGCTGCTAAACGTCAAATAACTTTTTGCCCCGCTTCCCTCAGACAGGAGGTTGTGGCGCATTAAGTGTAGAACCACTTGACTGAGGAACAGCTTATACCCTGAAGCTGTTAGACTTATAAATCCCTGCAGCAAAATCACTGTAATGCCACTTTAATTGGTGATATGTCACTTTATCTGTGCTGCTGATTTCATATATATAGTTTATATTATTGCTATTTTTGGGTGTAACTGGGACCTGGTGTGCACAATTTTGTTCCACCTCATGCACCACATATGATGCGAATGACAATAAAGTCACTTTGAACCTTGAAGAAGAGAGAAAGAATGTGTTGACAACATAAGAATAAGCATCAAAACGGGCGGTGGTACAGTATGCTACACCGATAAGCTTATCGATGCAGCTATTTTCAACACTAGTGTAACGCTTGGTGAAATGCTGCCTGTGAGGTGCATTGGGTTAGGACAGACAAGGGTCAGCGCAGGGCTGGAAGTGAAACGTTATTGTGTACCCCATCAACAGCTTGTACTGTTGTAAATACATAGGCACAAAAACGTGACAATACTTCTAAACTTCTTGATCTCAAGAACAACTCTTCCTCGTTGTTGACCAGTTTTTAGTAACTTCAGCTGTTTTTGTAGGTAAACAAACACATGTAGCTGCTGTTCACACAAACCATCAATACGAGGAATAAATTTGTGTCAATTTGGTTTCTTACATTACAATTAATATTCTTTTGATTGGCCTTTAAGACATTACGATGAGTACCTTTAAGTCATCTGAACTTAAGAGGAGAACACGTTGGGAACTGACAAGCAGAACATGAGCAACATAGAGGGTGAGAAATGTGCACGCTGCCTTCGAACCACAGTGACACTGCTCCAACGCCAAGAAGGAAACGTTTGGGATGTTCTGCAATAGCTCAGTGTCATGCGACACCGAGGATGACCAAGGGTAACCCTGATCCGTTACCGTACTTTGATATGATCAAACCTGTGCTTATTGTGACTGTAGCAACTTTGGGCGAACAACATTGCGTGCATGTGTTTTCACTTTTAGAATAAGTGCCGTGTCATGCTGCTGTCCAGCTTGACAGTTAGCAGACAAGAAGACTCAGTTCACTGTCAAACTGCACTTATCATCAAGACAAAAAATCATTCTCTGAGTGGAAGCAGACAAGAGAGGAGAGACGTCCACGATCTCACTTTGGTGCCATTCAACTGTAATGAGCACTACAGACTGTCATACAAAACAGATGATTTCCCTGACAGTGGTAAGCTCTGGAAAGACACAGATTGTTTCAGTGTGTGTGTGTTTGTGTGTGTGTGCATGTGTGTGTTTGTGTGCATGCACTAAGGGCATAGCGCAGGGGCAGCAGTGTTTATGCTTATGCAATGCTCCTGTGATGTGACCTAGTTGGAATGGATGTGTGCTGCCTCAGTCTCTCCCGTTTTCTTTCTTTTTGCCCGTCTCTCTCTCTCTTGTTACTTCACCATCTTATCCCTCTTTTTTATTTTTTGTACGTCATTCTCTTTTCCTGTCCCTCGTCCTCCTCCAATCCACCCACATGCCAAACGAACCCCCGTTTCCTCTGGAGGGGGAAAAAAAAAAGGTTCTATTTTAGACGAGGAGAACTTTTGGTTTTGGGATGAGTCTCTCAGGGTCGATCACCATGACAACCTCTTAAAGGTGATAAGCGCATGTACCAGAGGATGCAAAGGAAGAAAAGGAGGACGTGAAGAGTTAATGAAGGCAGGAAATAAAGATGGAGAATAAAAGGGTTAACAGGTCATGTTGGGAAACCAGATTAACATGATCTGTCTGGATCACCTGTTTGTTATTGTGTTTTTGGATGGATGGATGAATGGATGGATGGATGGAAACATAAGTGTTGAAAAAAGATTAGAAAGTGTGACTTCAACTTTAAAAGTAGTTTGAATGTATAGTTTGAATACTGCAAGAAGAAATCCCACTTTGTGAATGTGGCTACTACATGGGCCCTGACGAAGAAATTCCAAACTCTGCCCGTTACAGAGAGGAAGGCAGATATTTACACAGTGACACTTTAATCCATCAGTTTCACCAAGTGTAATTTTGTGTTACTGGCACTGACAGATAGCCTCTAAAGGTAGGAGGTGGAATCAGAACTGTGGTTTCAGCATTTTTCCAGCAGTTTTTCATATTGTAACATCAGTGCAGAAGGAGATTTCCATTATTACAGCTACTGGTAGTTTAATTGTACCTTTACCCTGCCATAGTCAGCCAATGATCTGTCCAATGTCAACATCCTGATGATAACACAGAGGGACTTTGGAAGAGACTTGAACTGATGGCAAATTATGTCTAACACAGCAACTCACTGGATCAGCTACTGGCACAGCTGCTCACTAGATGTAAGTTCAGAGAGGCTAAACCCTGTTTGATTGGACAGAGCCAATGCCTCAATTAAAAAAGGTTAAAAAAAAAACAACAAAAACAACTGGATTCTGAAGCTGAAGATGTTTCGCTTCCTATCCGGTAGGTTTTTGTCAATTCATAAATGTCTGTAGTGTAGATGTAGACCAGTATAGAGGTCTGAAAGATCTTTATATTGGAGAAACTAAACAACCTTCACAGACGCAAGGCTCAACACTTCAGGACAGGACTCAGAGTTCCCCTACATATCAAAGATAAGAGACACTTTTTTGAGGACCAAAATATTTATATAATGGACAGAGAAGAGGGATGGTTTCAGAGGAGATGAAGGAAACCATATACGTCAAACAAGGAAAACCAACTAAACAGAGGAGGAGGGCTCAGATTTCAACTTTCAAAAACTTACAATACAGCTTTAGGCCTGATTCTCATTCAGCTCCATTCCAATCCACACCTTCATGCATGTGACCAAAGCATCTCTCATGGGCCAAGCAAAGAGCCTGAAGAGCCTCCAATGTGTGGGGCGAGTATTTACAGTCTAATCTGCATGTGAATCTAAGAACATCACGAGACCGCTCATGTAGTTCTATAAAGTTTGGAACTTCACACACTCCAGACATTTTAGAACTGATAAAGCCGCCTGGATGGGAAGCGAAACATCTTCCACTTCAGAACAGAAGTCCAGTTGTTTTTGTTTTATAGCATTCTTTTGGATTGATCATGGCCTGGGTGACCAATAATCTCCACCAGCATTTAGCTGAAGCCTACAGGGCTGCGAGAGAACAAGTCACCCTCTTGTTTGTGTATGTCTGCATGGCTACTTCCTCAGGCGGCTGAGACGAGCTGGTCTGGGAAGCTCAGTCCTCACCTCCTTCTGCAGGTGTGCAGTGGAGAGCATCCTGTGCTCCAGCATCAACGTGTGGCATGGAGGCTGCACAGCTGCAGAAAGAAAAGCTTTGCAGAGAGTGGTGAAGGCTGCACAGAAGATGTTGGAGTCAGTCTCCCCACCATCACAGACATCTACACCTCCAGATGCAGGAAGAGGGCCACCTGCATCATGAAGGACCCCACTCACCCAGCACACACACGTTTTGCCCCGCTCCCCTCAGGAAGGAGGTTGAGGAGCATTAAGTGTAGAACCACTACACTGAGGAACAGCTTCTACCCTGAGGCTGTTAGACTCATGAATCTCTAACCAGAATAATCACAGTGAAAAATTACATCTATTTTATACTACTATTGCTTAATGTATTTTTATTAATGTTTTTCTTAGTTCATATTTTAGATCTTATTACTGTTTTACTTTTACATTTTAATACTTTTGTTGGATGTAACTGGGACCCTGTGTACATAATTTCGTTCCACCACATGTGGTGGAAGGACAAATAAAGAACCTTGAATCCTTGCTTTACAGTAAGTAAAGAGACTAAAAGAAGTTTGAAACCTTCTCAATGTATGGTCAGATATTATCAGGTAATCACACTGATGTCTATTATTTTAGAGTTTCTCTGTTTACCCAACAGGTTCAACTGCCCAGCTTTATGTGTCACCTCGACAAGACAATGATTTCATGGAGTTTCCACGTTCAGTCAAACATAATTCTCCTAAAATACACTCACACTCGTGGAGTGTAATCGAAATACAACCCATTTAAAAATACATATATTTTCTCTTTCCTCTGTGGGACACTGTAAAACATGCACATCTAAATACACACTCCACAGCTTTACAACAACTGTTCTGGCATTTTCAGACAGTCTTTGTGAGCCGATCTCCAGGTTCTGTAATTGTATATTTGTGTGGCGTGTCTTTTAGCAAGGACACTAAACGATTAAGCTCTCACAGGC